TGCCTTCCTTGGTGCGTATTTTGTGGGGCTCCTCATCCTCTATACCCCACCCCTTGCCACTCGGGTGTTACTGTAGATCTAGGCCACACCTTGCCGTTGTTGTAGGTCACTTCTCACGTGACAGCTTGACAGAGCATAGGAGCCACAGGAATCTCCCCACGACTCTGTCACTCTCCAAGAAAAATGCCAACACAAGAAGAACTTAACTTAAAAGAGCTCGGTCTGAGCGGTGGGCAGGGCACCGTTGCCCCTTATGCCAAGCTTCTCCCCTGACCCTTTATATCTTTTGGGCTACCTGGCCCTTTTTCCTTGAGTCCAGTCGGCCAGTAGGCCAAGTGCACCAGGGCCCCAGGGTGTTCCCTGTTGAGCCTGTTCAGGGCCAAATATCACAGCTGTTCCCCACTGGCACACTTCATGCATGCAGCCGCACCATGGGGGTATGTGGGATTTGTGGGCTGTCCCTCCAGGGCTCACCCTTGTTGAGTGCCCGCAGGGCCCACTGGGCTGCACTCTCCCGTCCCCACCTGACCGCTAGTTCTCTGGGTGATCCTTCCACTGCGACAGTGGGCAAGCTCATCGGCATGCCAGGCTGCCTGTGAGCACAGTTGAGATGCTTGGTGCTACCCCTGGGCTTCAATCCCCTGTGGGTTGACGGACTCCTCTGGCTTAGTTCAGATCTCTCGCTCCCGGTGCATGAAGCTGACTCCCTGATGGCTGTAGGAGCTGTGCCCGGGTTTTTTCCCAGCTGCCTCCTGACTGAGGCATGCATGTGCTGTTTTCCTGGGCTTGCTGGCTGGCAGGGGAAGCGTCAGGTTGCTTCTGGGGTCAGGGAGTCTGTCCAGCTCCATCTCCAGCATCCCAATGCATCCCACCTTCCTCCCAGCCTCCAGGCTGGTTTTAAACACATGGCCTCTGGACCCAGCGCCGGTGGGGAGCAGGCCATCCGGCCGCAGAATGCCAGCTGCGTCGTTCGTGGCCTGGCCACCTGGGCTGCAGCGCCGAGGTAAGCCAGGTAGACCCCATTGCTACAAGCTCTGGAAGAAGTGGGGGTAAGCCTGTAAAAGGACTATTTTTCATTCCTAAATTTGCAATCTAAATTTGACAGCATTCATCTGTTACAATCAAGTGTTAAAACACAACAGGCAGATTTTAATCCCATCACTTATCTAACAGTCTAGCAAGGCCACTAGTATATTCAAAATGAACTGCAGGTGGGCATTCCTTACAGCCATATCAGCTCTGCCTAAAGCTGCAAGGTTTCTGCACAGAGCTAGAGAGCAGTGCTAAGATCAAGGCAGTTTAAGAAGAGAATAATCAATTGTGTAAAAGTTTAAATCTAAATAGTACAGTTTTAAAAAGCACCTTGACTTCCAAGGATATGGCCGCCTAAGTGCCAAAGTCACCTCTGAAAAATCTTATCTAAGCACAGCCGTCTTTGCAGCTCAAGCAATCAAGGACAGAAAATATGAGTTGTCAATTGTTTACACAAAAAAGTACAGCCTAGTTTTGGTCTCTTTCCCCAGCCAGCGTCAAAAAGCAATGCCCTAGAGAGATGAGGGGCACTGGAGCCCATGGAACAGCCCTCATATACTGCTTTTCTCCAAAAATTATGTTTTAAAAAAGCTGCCAGACGAAGCCCACCTTCAAATGCTGTGAACACTTATAAGTTAGGAAAAGTGGTTTAATGAAACCACTTATTCTTGGTGAAGATGCCGTTGAGGCAACTGGCAACTGCATTGCTCTTTTGGAGAGAGAGAAACCTCTAGGAAAGCTGCTCTCTTTGTGCAAAAAAAAAAAAAAAAAAGGGGGGAAAGGATCTAATTCTTTACTCCCCATGTTTTAGGACTATTACAGATCATTTTACATGAGAACAATTCTGTCCTGGATTTTCAATAAAGCATGACGACAGATCTCCAGGCCCCTTTCAGATTGTAAGCATTTCCATGTTCCAATGTATTCTCTTTGGATACAGGGTATTTTGGTATGGTGTGTACCTTATGTCACTGACAGAGAATGGTGGACTTCTTCCCTATTATATCTTCCTCCCTCGCTCACCCAAACACAAGCAAAAAGCTTTGCAAGTATAACCCAATCAATAAGTCAATAGCTTTTTAATCAGAGCAGCAGCAGTTAACATTGATTACACTTAATATTCACAAGGTAGATGAGAGAGAAATTTCCAACAGTTTATATGGGAATACTTTGAAATGACTGAAGGTAGTACAAATGGCTTCTGGATCTATAATTATTGGAGTGAAGGGACGTTAAAAGTCACAGGCTAACTTTTAATCATGAATCCATTGATGAGCACAGCTTGTGTAATCAACCAGTTCCTCAGGAGCGAACCACAGGTTGATCTCTGTCTCCGCGCTTTCTACCGAATCACTGCCATGGATGATATTCCTAAGAGAAGGAAAGGAAGAGTTATTATTAATCCCAACAGAATTCAAAGCAAAGAGAATTTGTTTTCCAGAATATCTTCAGCTGTAGCCATGGTAGCCACTAGGCCTGTGCGAAGCAGCTAGTATTCGCTTTGGATTCAGCCAATTCGGGGGACAGTGATTTGATTTGGTGATTCGAATCACCGTCCCAATTCAATTCAGCTGAATCTGATTCAGGGATTCAGCAGCAGCCGAATCTCCGAATCAGCCAGGCCCATCCCCCACCTCTCTCCCAGCCTGGCAGTGGCTGCCCACCCCCATCCCAGCTCCTGGCACTTGCTAAAAAAAAAAGCCCCAGCTCAGCAGGTGCTGCCAGGTGCGGGGTGGTCCCTGCTGCCCTCCACTGCCCAATGCTGCATGGGGGGCTCTGCACGAGCCCCCCAGCCCCCAACAGGTGCCCTGCCCAGGCCAGGTCGGGCCCTTTAAGAAAAAAAAAACCTCAGACTCACCGCTCCTGCCAGTGGGGGCAATCCCCACTGCCCCCCATTGCCCCACGCCATGATGAAGGCTCTGCACGAGCCCCCTGAAGCCCCAAGACTGCTGCAGGAGCGGTGAGTCCAGGGGGTTTTCTCCATTTTCTTTTTTCTGAAAGGGATGGAGCTGGCCCGGGCAGAGCACCCGTGGGAGGGCCGGAGGAGCAGGGGGGAGGTCGAGGGGCTCGTGCAGAGCCCCCCAAGCAGTGGGGGGCAGCAGGGATCGCCCCTCACCTGGCAGCACCTGGTGAGCACCAGGGTTTTTTTTTAAAGTACAGAGCTGGGGTGGGCGGGGGCAGCCAAGGGGGAGCTGGGGGAGTGAGCAGGAG